CAATTAAAAAAAAAAAAAAAGCGGGGTATTAGCTTGGTTTGTGGCTTAATTTGTTTATATTTTAAACTTCCTAATCCCTTTGACCATCTGGAGGAGCTTTTTTTAGTATTGTTAATTATTGATAGTATCGGGGTCATGCAGGCACTCGATAACGTAGCTCCATCTCCCCTGGGACTAATACTCGTTCGCAGATATTTTACAGCTTTTTTTTTTTTTTTCCTATGATTGAAGACAGTGGCAAAGCTCTCCTTTAGAATAAGGACAAAATATTTAAGGAAAGCACATCGCATGTTTGGGTAATAGACAATTTGAAAAGTCATTATTTTTAGTTGTGCCTAGGCCCTGCCTCCTTGTAGGCAGGGTCTGCCGGGTTTTGTTGTGGTCGTTGGTTTAATCTTAGATTTTCTTAATTCTGCATCGTTCTCAGTCGTTGCGCATCTAGACGACTTAAATAGGTCCCAGAGAATTATTTTTAGGCAGGCAAGTCAGTTTTTAATCTTAACTGCTTTGTAATGCATCAATTTTAAAAAATAGAGTCTGCACCAGATTTTAATTCAGAGCGTGCGGCCGTGCTGGAGCGAGGGCAGGGGACCGTGCACAAAGCTTTATTTTTCTTAAGTTGGATTAGAGAAAGTTGATGGCTTGGGAAAGCGCCGGTTCAACCGGGAGTCGATGGGCACGCTGTGCGGGACGAGCAGCGATGGCGAGCCTCGTGCCCGTTGGAGCAGCTGTAACTGCCCTTTTGGCTGACGGGGGCACATTTTGGTGCAGCGGGCTTTTGTTCCAAACTCTTTGTGCAACAACTGGCTGGAGCGAAGGATCGGGCCCCGTCGCCCGTCCTCCCTGTGCCGCACAATGGAGCGGGGCGACCATCTCGCAGCGGCCCGCGGCCGGCTCTCTCCCGCGCTCGGCGGGGCCGGTGCTGGGTCCCGCGGGACGTGGGTGCGCTGGGGCGCGGGGCTGGGTGCTGGGGTGCGGAGGAGAGGCAGGGCCGGGGGGAGAGGGGCTCCCAGCCTCTCCGCACAAGTTGCATTTCGCAGATGAGTTTTTGATATGCAAATGGTGATCGGTCCCAGCCCGCGGAAGGGAAGGGTGATGGGTTTCATCTTGATTTATACCTACGCAAAAAAGAGCAGCTGATGATTTCTGGGGTTTTTATGAGGGTTTTCTTTTGACTGAACTCTTCTTTGGCAGAAACAAAATCAGTGTGGAATGAGGCAGAGTTTTGGATTTAATGACTGGAAAGGGAGAGCAAAGCTGAGATGTGCTGGCCATTTCTCTGTCGCAGCATTTCTCCTCTTTCCAGTACTCGGTCGGCGCTTTTTAAAATGCGACCGTGCTCTCTGTGTCTCCGTAAGTAGAACATCTTTGTACATTACAGAGAATAAGGTTGCAGGCGGCCTCTTTCTCCCCCCTCCCCCCCCCCTTTTTTTTTTGAAGGACTTGAGGAGGCTTGTCCATTTAAATTAACCTTATCCCAGCTGGGCACACAAATGTTTTTGTTTTAGTTCACAGAGGGTTAATTCTATTCAGGCTCTCACCATGGCCGGCCTGATCCGGGGCAGCACAATCTGCTCTTTGAGCCCGGGCAGGACCCCGGTGCCTTCGCCTGCGTCCAGCCTGGGGCTGGGACCCCCATCTGCGGGGTCGATGGGGAGCGGGACGCCCCGGCCCGTTGTGCGCCCGGCCACGGGCTCGGCTGCCGAGGTGGCTGCTGTTCCGGGGAGCGGCCACCGAACGGAAAATTTAATCCCTGTGTTCATTGATTAGTTCTCTGTACTGAATTCAACAAGATGTTTTTCCTGAAACTGAAAATTGCCTACGGAAAAAATCATTAGGAAAGATAAGGGGAACAAGAAACCTTTGAGACGTTTGTGTTTGAGGCATCACCAGAGGGGAGAGGGGAGCGAGATTTTGTTAGGATTTAAGTAGCACATGTGTGCGATCTCCCCCCGCCCCTCCCCACACAGCTGGCATTGAGCAGCTTGAGGTTTAAACCCAGCTCAGGGGTTCTGCGGGGGGGTGCGGTAGGGTGAGTTAATCACAAAGCAAATAAATGATACACAGTTGAAAAGGTGTCACGTATATTAATGAATTGCAGTGCTGAGTGTCATCTGTAATCTTTTTTCAGCTGTAGAAGATTTTCTTCGCGGTAAATGGCGTTCAGTTGTTCGAATGGGAAGTTTTGCAAACTGCAGCTCTCTGCGTCCTCCCTCTCGCTTTTCGACAGGACCAAATCCCAGCACCGTCTGCTCTGGGGGTTTGGGCGAGGGTTTGTGCCTTCACTTTTGGCCTCACTCGAGGAAATAAAGTCTTTGTTTCTGCTTTGTTGTAAAGCACCGACGTTACAAGTCACGCAAGCCGGCTGCATGGACGCTCGGTGTTATTCCCAAGGTAGATCCCTCCCAGGGAGCCGTAGGTGCTGTATGGTTTCAGACTGCATCTGCCAGGGTGGGTGCGAGCCTTCTCGCAGCCGTGGGGAGCTGCCGGGACGAAGCCAGCGCCTGGTCCCCTCCAGGAACGCGGCCGTGCTCCCTGCGGCCGGCTGGTGGTCGTCTCCGCCCGAGCCGTACAGGGGGGAGCGGCGGGGGGGGGGCGCGGGGGGGGGGGGGCGGG